CGCATCCGGTGGAATTTATGTCATTGATTTTCATTCAATTTATTAGGTTAATTGTAAAAAAATGTTTCATTATATAAAAAGATTAAAATCATGATGCATTACGGTCGTTAACGTTTTCTGGCATTTATTAACTTTTTTAATTTAAATCAGTGCTAAAACGTTATGTATTGACACAGAGCATTAGAGCAACAATCAAAGAGCTGATCGTGGCTGGCAAATTTCAATTTCAATAAATAAACCACACTCGAAAAAAAAAGCCGAAAAACAGGAATCGTTTCAATCCAAAACGATTTCATTGGTATTTGTTGTATGCTACTTTTACACACTTGGAGGTACATAATGTTGTACATAATTACGTCAACGTAAATAAACATAATTTCAGTGCTTTAAGAGCTAAAAGTAAACAATACGGCGGAAACTTCCGCTCCACGAAATTTATGATTTATTTGAATATCAAAAGTGACGCTCATATATGTCAGTCTTATGCCGCGGATACACTTGTATGACAAACTATGAACATGAGCATTATTTGTATAATACATTATGAGTACATCCTAAACTTTGAGAATGGATGTGTTCATAATCTATTATAGAAATAATGCTCATGGTCACAGTTTATCATACAAGTCTATCCGCGGCATTAGTACACCAGCACGTATATGAGTTTTTCGTAGTGTGCATATAAGTGGTGGTTCAAAATATCGATTTTACTTCAGCTAGTTTAATCGATTCCAAATCAGATCATTCTCCCAAAGCTTGAGCTCATTTAGGTGCGATATCATACTGCACTGACTCTTTGAAGTTTATTTGGGGGTGAAGTTTATAATTAACGGGGCCCCCGGACAGTCGGGTAAGATGAACAGTTGATTGTTTGATTGATTTCTCTACCGACGACGTTATGAACATTTCAATGTGCATTTTCTAAGGTTGTTAAGGGGCTGTTCATAAACTACGTAGACAGTTTTTTTGGGATTCTTGACCCACCCTCCCCCTGCGTAGACAATTTTTCCATACAACAATTTTAAAATTAATATGGGCCGTGGATAATTGTCAACCCCCCTCCCCCTCTAAACTGTCTACGTAGTTTATGAACAGCCCCTAAGCACCAAAACAGTAAAATACTTACGGCAATATTTACTATCCTGTTCCTGCATCACTTTTTGATTGTTTGTTGAAATCAATAATTAATTTCTGTTTATACGCTTGCAAATAAAGGTATTCATTACTGTATAATGCCACGATAATCATACAAATTAGGTAAATTTTTATAATAATGTGGAAACATAAAATTTTAAAGATTTTCTGTCTTACCACCCCCAGCACCAGTCCGTTTCACCCGCACCTAAAAAAGTTAAGTATTTTTCGACCATTATTTTTATTAAAAAAAGTACCAATTGCTAAGATTTAAAATATATAAGTTTTTTCCTTTAGCATAGATTAATGTTACAGAATTCTGATATTATTTATTGACGATAAAACAACGTATCCATCTTACCCTGATTTCCCTTGCTATGGAAAAGGTGAACCTTTTGGTGTTAACGTCCCAGACTTTCGGCAATGGTCTAGTAGTATGCTTGCTATCTGTACTTAAAAGAAATTTTCTCCTCTACAACTTCGCTCACTTTTTAACAACAAAAAATCATTCTTTTCACCTTTTTCCATTCACCTACTATAAAAATTGTATCAGTCAGTGAGAAAAAATGGCTTAAACTGCTGTAATTTATCTTAAGAAGCATTTTCTGAGGGGAATTCATTTGGTTTCGCTTGGCCTTTGCTACTTTCTTCAACTTATATGAAATTTGAACAACAAACTAATGAAGCGAATTTAGAAAAAAAAATCTGTGCAATTTTTCGACGAAATTTATTTTATTCACATTTAACCAACGGGCACAGCCAGAGGGCGGCAAATGCCTTACCCTTATTCAGTACCAAAATAAAATTACAGAATAAGGTAAAATTTGTGTTAGTATAATAATAAGCTCATTAATGTTCTTAAATTACCGATCTCGGCGGATCCTTGAATTTCAGACTTATTCTGATTTACAAAATCATTATAATACAAAAAATATTATATTATTAGGTCACTTGGCGAAACCGCTATTGCAATTTTTGAATTCAGGAAAGTGAGATTGTATTTGGAAATTTATTTAGAAATCATGAGGTAGAAAGAAAAATAACAGAAGATTTAGAAATATGTTCCATACTTACAAAAAATTAGAAGTTGTTGAACTTGCAAAAAAAACTCCACGATTCTGGATTTGAAAACTTAATCAAGATTCTGGGCCCTGGAAAATATCTTAGATGAGCTTGCATTAAGAATATTGTAAAGAAATTCAATAATGATTGGGATACTTCCAAAAGTAATCTGAAGAGATTTCCTATGGAAGGTTGGAAATTATGTTTAAGGAATCAAGTAAATAATTCAAATAAATCATTAGAAAATTCCATGAATATTTTTTGCAGGAGCCTAGGCAAATTTTGAGGAGAAATTCTACTCCAAACGAATTCTGAATGCACAGATAATTGGGATACGAACCGATATTGACATACTGATTATTTATCAAAATTGTATTTTGTGCAAAACATGACACGTTTGTTAAAATCATCGTCTATAAATAACATCGGTATCTGAATCTGATGATAGTTTCATTTTTTATCAATAGGTAGAGATCGTTTTTCAAATTTTCAGCAGCATTCCAAGGTAAATCCTATTCCTAGGAAAAAGTAGTAGTAATTATGATTAGAACGTAGTTCTGACTCAAAACATCTGTGAAGCTTTCCATGGGGGCTGTTAAGAGAATTCCAATCTAATTTAGAAAAAAAAGCAACAGAAATTTGTAAATAATTCTACCGTAAGCTAGAAACAAATTCCAAGAAAGCTTTTATTAGAACAAAGAATTATGAACAAAATTCTTTTGATAATTCTAAAGAAACTTTGATAAGTATTATTCCAAGAAAGTTTTAAGAAGAATTCAGTTGGAGTAGGTATTGGCAATAAATTTAAACATACTTAAAATAATTACAAATGATTTTATATAAACAATGAATTTACGCCCTTAACTGTGGAATGAAAATATTACAAATTCTTAAAACAAAACTCTTGGAAAAATTCACATTAAATTGTGGAATGTTTTACGCTAATCAGAAACACAATTGTTTGTACCCATGAGATACAAACAGTTAGATTTTATTTTGGCCGCCTCATGAAGTCTCATGGGCTACTGTATAAGCACGTACCTACATCCTCAAATGCTTTTCTTTCCTTTTTGCAATAGGCGCTCTTGTTGGTGAAGAAATGTTGCTCCCCCATCGTGATAAAACGAACGTTTGATCAAATTACACCAAACATAAATAAAACATATATATTGACCCTAGCATGCTAACGTTCATAGTTTATAACTTATAACTTCAGGGATATTCCGAGAAGTTTTGGAGACTTCAAACTTTTAGGGAACATTGGTGATCCGTCAAAACAAGTTCCGAAAAATTCGGGATTGTTCCTAGAATTTCAGGAAATTTTAGGAGGTTCCTGTAATTTCAGGAAGTCCAAAAACTGAGAAGTTGAAAAACATTTCAGGCCAGTTATTTTCAGGGAAGTAAAGCCGTTGGACCCCGAGTCATGCGTTGATGGGTCTATACGAAGGGTCCAGGTGTGGGAGCTGCCTTCCTGGAAATAGGCGGAAGCTTGAAAAAAGTTCTGAGAAATTATGGGAAGTCTAGAGAACAGAAGGACTATTTCCATAATTTAAGGGCCGTTCCAATAACTCAGGGAAGCATTGAAACGTCTAGAATTTTAGGGAAGTCACGTCAAATAACTGAAAAATGAGCGGTGTTTTTGCAAGCGCTTAAAACAGAAAATATCACTCTAATTTATTCGAGTTATAATTGTATGTCAAGGTCAAAAAGGGCCAAATATATCCAAGGAAATTGATGATAGAAATTATGTTTCAATAGTGTGTTTTTGCAAGTGCACTCAGTGCACCAACGCGACTGCTAGAAGATTTGAAGATCTTGAAGAATTAGTGCTGATACATTTTGTTCTTGATTTTCCTTATGATTTTCCTCCACCATGAACGTTTTCGTGGAAAACGATCTTTCTACGATGCTTTGTTCATGAGTTATTAATTTCAACGCAAGTCTTGTTCAAGAAAATCCAAAAACATCAACTAAAATTTTCCGGCAACATAACGACTCCTATTGTTTTTTATTCCCTCATTTAATCAACTCTGCCTATGCTTCACATTTAATAAAATCTTCCTTTCTAAATCTTTCTCTTTCATGTATGGTATCACTGATACATTTTAACAGCTACAGTTTTGAAGCCAACTTTTCAAATTTAAAAACAGAAATAAAAAATATAAATATTTCATTAACCATACTAGCATCATCAAAGTTGCCGAAACTTTATTTAACACTTTCCTTTGGAGAAAGTTTTCGCATATATGTATTTTGGAAAGAAGTGCTAACACAAAATATGTTTCATACAGCCTAACATTATCGAAACCGTAATAAAAAGTATGTGTTTAAAATCAATAGTATTTTCAACGTTTTTCAATAGTTGAACGAGAATAATGATCACACGGAGAAGCTTAAATAGGAAGTGCCTATTTAATGTTAGATTGACAAACATGAGACGGATCGACGAAGTTGTGGATCACCTGGGAAGGAGAGGGTTTTTTTTTTTTTTTTTTTTCCTTTGGTTTGTTTTTTTCCGTCGATCTTTTTTTCCGTGCTGAGCACCAATGCTACCGAAGTGCCAGGAAGGCAGCTCCCATACCTGGACCCTACCTATCGACCCATCAACTCATGAACCGGGGACCAACGGCTTTACTTCCCATCCGAAGGAAGGCGTGATCAGAGATGTTATGCCTCAGAACATCCCGGCGGCGCCGACTGGGATTGAACCCAGGCCTTCTGGGGTGAGAGGTAATCACGCTTACCACTACACCACCGGCGCCGTTGAAGGAGAGGGTTAAACTAGTTTATTTTGTTGAGCTTGCTTCACTTCACTTATGGGCCCTAGACTGTGATACCAACTATAGCAAGGAGCTTTCCAAGTACAAACTTTTTACTGAAGACTCGAAAATGATACTTGCTTTGTAGACCACACCCCAACATGTTCTGGCTGCCTCGAGAGAAGAGGATAATACCTAACATAAACAAAATCCTGCCCACATAACCAGGCTATAGATCATTGAGTGTCAAACGCAATTTTAACCAGATGTTTTTATTTTCAATTGCAACCCTACTTAACACATTCTATTTGCACAATCTGCGACCGGGCACAGTAATTGCTCGGCGTTGGTTTGTGGTTGATGTGCACAAATCGATCAGCTGATGGCCTTAATGCATAATTAATTCAATCAATTTAAATTCCACATTCGAACCGACTGAAACTCGTGGAAAACTAAAATTGATTGATTCCACTTTCCAGAATCCGGTATCCATCATTCGTGAATTAAATTTCTGACAGGAAAATGGTGGCAAAGATGAGGACAACAGTAAGATTTGCCGCCGTCGTAAAACATTGGTTCTTGCTGATATCGGTGTACGGGTTAATTATTAACGCCTTCATTTTCTCCCGCTTGGTCTGGTGATAAATTATCGCAACAACGATTCGATATGGAGCAAAAAGAGGGAACAGAACAGAACTTAACGGATCTGAGTTTAGTCCTACTACTAGTGTTCGGCATGCTGGTAGTGCAATTTATTATTCACATCTCTTCTCGTTCCGCGTGTATAAAATCCTTGAATGAAGGGAAGAGTCATTTTCAGGATACGAGTGAATGGGGTTGAGAAGACTCTTGTTGTCTGTTGTGCAGTACCTTTCCTATGTATTATTTACACATTTATTTATTTATAATTTATTTATACCTAAATACGCCCATCAATTATGAATTAATTGATAACGGTTCTTGGCGTTCCACTTGGGTGATACTTACTTGGCGGTGCCGCTTTCGATTCGTTTCAAATTCGACCCTACAGCTGTTGTTCGTGCTGCTGTTGTTCGGCAGCAGGACTTGGGGGCTGATGCTGATGCTGCTGCTGTTGTTGGTGGTTATGGTGATGGTGGTAGTGATGGTGATGGTGGTGCTGGTGCTGGTGCTCGCATCGAGATTGCTCCTCGATGGCAAAGGATACTTAACGTCACACCCGCAGTTCGTCCATCGCACTCTGGGCTTGATTAGAGGTGGCAAGGTTGGACTTGACGCAGCTCTTCTTCGTCAATGTGCCACAATTGCTTCCAATTAGCTGGAGCGCATGTTGCGAGAGAATTGTCCCGTCTGGAACTGATTTTATGTGCTTGGGAGGCGGTGGCGCCCGCTGTGGTAGATCGGCAAACTCCGGAGGTGGCATCTGGTGATGCTGTAAGGCATGATGATGGCCCAGTATAGTTGACGGATCGCTCTTTGTGTGGATGGTGAGGCTCTCCAGCTCTCCACAGATATTGTTCGGCATCTGACCGTTCTCGTTTCGCTTCTTACTGTTTCTCGGTTCGTTTAACCTTGTTTTGTCTCGTTGGTAGTAAACACCAGCGAAAATCAGCACGTTCAGTATCAGTAAACTACATCCGATTGCTATCGTCACGCTCAGGGCAGTGCTGTAGGCAGCGAAACCGTCCTCTTGCGACGAGCTGCCACTATCTTCGTCTGTCCCTTCAGAGGATTCTGCCGTCACCGGAATCGGCTTATGAACGTTCTGACGGCTAGTGCTATTGTTAATCCCGTAAGTGGAAAAATTCAACAGCGAAAACACTTGTGTGGTTAAAAAGGAAAAATTGGAATTGGCATTCAAAGGATCCCGCTGGGGAGGATTTAGCGGTTTTACTGTCGGCACTGGGACGTTCTCATCTTCGTCATCTTCGAGCTCGTGGTGTGAACTGGGCACATCATCGCCACCGGGTTTATGCAAATCTGGCACCAGATTCAACCAAAACGACAACCGATGCGCCCGGTAATGGTTTTTCAGCTTCGGCTTGGTATCTAAACGATAAATAATCATAAAAAGTCATGAATTCAATCGCGGGTTCATTGCAAACATTCAACCAGTCAACACATAAATAACAAATAATAGGGGCATTCCATCGTTATCTACATATCAGAGTATTAATAATATAAATGGTGTTTAAAAAATGTGGTGGAAATAAAATCGAAACAACACAAATACAGTTACCAATTTCTCAAAATATTGTGAGGAGGGAAAATGCACCAGATTGAAACTAGAGCTATGACGGCTGATACGGTCACTCTCAGGGAAGTAACTTATGCAATTAACGCACAATTGTATGAATCGTTCAGAATTTTCCTGGTAATTGATCCATTCGGCATGTTTTACCATCGACATACACACAAAGAACGCCGTTGTACCATAGAGGTAACTCTAAGATCAAAAGGTCCCGAAGAAACGTGCTCAACTTTTTGGCTCAGCTCTGGAACTCTCTTCGGTCCCAAACTAATCGATGCACCCCTCGAAACATAGGAAAATCCAAGAACCCCTCATTTTATCTGTATATATTTCAAAGCGAATAAAAAAAACATAGTGTAGTTAGTACACCCCCCGAGCATCTAGACAGAAAACCTTAGTTTCACGTACCCACTTGCAAATTGTAGATGTCTCCACCGTACGTAAACAATGGGGTCATCCATCGTTGGTGGCACAACTTTTTTCACATCAGAAAACATGTTTTTGTTTCACTTCATGTGGACGTCGAAAGCAAACCAAGAATAAATTTTGAGTGAGACGTATTACGGGTGTTGCACATTTTAGATCATGATGCTGTCAACAACCATCGAAATATGTTGATCAAATTATGCATTGATTTCTATCTTAAATATCGACTGGAGCAGTACGCCCAAAACTTCGGTGGGATCAAGATTTCACTACGTAAAAAACTTACTAAACTGATACTGTTCCGTGGAGAATGAAGGAGAATTGATTACTGTATAGTTCAATAAACGTCACAATAAAAAAAAACTTTATTAATCCACCAGTGGTGTGATCTGGCACTTCTTAATTCTGTAAATTCTGATATTCTTTTTAAAAATTACCCCGAAAGCACCACCCTAATAAAAATGTTCCATACACGAACCATAACCCAAATGGTTTAACCATATGACACATAGTTCGGAACCTGCACAGGTTTTTAAGCATATACAAATACATATAAGAAAATTGTCTTACGCGCTCTCTCACACACATAAATAGACAGACATTTTCCGATCCCGTCATGCTGAGTCGATTGGAAGACTATTAGAAAAAAATATCAATGTTTTTATAAAAAGCTAAAAAAAAAAACAAAAAACCTAAAAACCGGAAAAAAAAGAAAATAAGACCAATTGTAAATTTACTCCACCATTATTCGATTTGACAGAACCAGAGTACCAGAATTTTCGGGGTACATTAGCATTACACTGGAGCTGTTTAGTTGCTCCCGGGGTGAGTTAGTAGTACTAAAATTTCGACTAGAATTGAGTACGCTTCGGCAACCCGAAATCAGCAGCGTGCGCATGTTTTATTTCAAGAAAAGCACTGGTAAAATGCGTTTGCTCAGTCGTAAAAAAATATTCAGATTGAAGCTAAAATACTAAGGAATCGTTTGAATGCACTCAGCGAATTGTTTTGGTGATAAAATGCAGTGAGATTAACGCTTCGCTAATTGTATTCAGAAATGGTTAGTCTTTCAACTTCAATCTGATTAGATTTAACGGTGGTAGATCACTTTTTCGTGGTGCATTACTGGTATAAGATCTACCACGGCCCTAAGCTCTTCTTGTTGACGGTAATAAGCCTCGGTTTTGATATTGAAAACAAGAAAAGGTTTGGGTCAGGGTTCTGCTGCATGGTCTAATTAGACGCATTTCGCGCCAAATCGAATCGAAGCTGGCAGCACCCTCTCAGATTTCAATAAAATTTTCTGGATGTGTAGACTTTGACTAAATAAGCACTTTTGCTTACTCAGTTTTTCCAAAATTTATCTAGACTAACATTTGAGAAGAGCCAAACTTTTTCTGCCGATTTTTTTCAAAAAAAATATTATGGAAAAATATGTTGTATGGATAACTTTTAGTAAATTGACCAACTTATCGAAAAAAAAATACTGAAAAAAATTTCATTTGAGACCTACACTGAAAAAAATTGATTTTTAAAATTCAAAGTCGATTTAAAAAAAAAAATGGCCATGTTTGATTTGGATGAAACTTTAAGCTCAAGATAGGTAATTATGTTTACTACCATCCGTCCATACATCGCGAGATGGGCACTTTTAAGTAAAAAAAGTTTTTCTGGCTCTGATTGTGAACGATTTAGGTAGAATTTTTAGGTAACTATTTAGCTTTTAGCCCAACTTTGCTTTTACGAATACACAAAAGACTTTGAATTTGAGGTGGATTCTGGTACGGAATTACAGGCTGCTATTTTGAGCAACTCATAAAGGAATTCCGTTAAGAGGTTCCAAAAATTTAAAGATTAAAAATTACATTTAGGTATTTGTCAACAAAAGTAGATAGTAAGTTAAAGATGTTATAGTATGATTTTTGCTACATTTTTGTTTTTTTTTTAGTTAATTATTCTTGAACGCAGTTAAAACTAGGAGATGAGGAAGAAATATAATCATTTGTTGAAAACACACATAAACACACACACAGTGAAAAATACTTCCACGGATACTTTCAATACTGTCATAGATAAGAACATATACGTTGAGACAACACCTATAATGACAATGGCAACTGACAAACGTAAAGACATCGACAAAGACAATGGCACTGACTGACACTGATTCTCAAACATTTCAAAAAGATCATGATTAAGAAGGTATTGCAAAACATGGTCCTCTGTACGTTTACTTTCCATCTTTTACTACAACTATTACTACTGTTACTCCGACTATCCCCTACTTTAAACACTAATCTTCCCTATCCGGCATCTTAAGCAGGATTCACTTGATCCCTGTGATTATTATTCTGTGGTTCCAAATCTTTACCTCTACCCTTGTGCTGTATGGACAGTGGTTTTTCACTGGAGACCAGGCCTTATGACCCCCTTCTGTGCTTGAAAATGAAAATGAAATGGATGAACTCAATTACTTTGTTCTGAAAAAAATTCAGAAAACAGCCAAACTGGTTGTCCCATCACAAGAAGCAATGGTACGAGGCAATTTTAAAACGGGTTTATCTCGGCTTGATTTCTGTTATGGGACGGACTTGCTAGGAGCGGTAGTGCAGTATTCAAAAGTTAGCATTTATTGTGATACTGAAGAATCTGGTGTTAAAATTTCTAAAAAAAGTTGTGGTTACGTACTGCGTATTTCGTTGCGAAATAGTCAAAAATACGCCTAAACGTGGGCAATAAACGAGAGTAAATAATTTTTATGATACGAAATCGATTCTGAAACCAGATTTCGTTAAAATGAACGAATTCAGCGACCCAAAATTAAGAAAAAAAAAGAATTTTGCTCAACACAGCACCAGAAAACTCCAGAGCAGTACCAGATTCCTATAGGATTTATAAAACCAGTTAAATGCTGCATATTTTAACATTTCCACGAAATGGTACATTTAGAGTGCATCGTTTATTTGGGAAAATGTTTTAAAACTACTATTTCAACTACTAAGAACTTACATACAATATCATAAAAAAAATTTATTGAGAAACGAAAATTGAACCGTATAGCGATCAACTTCATCCTACTTTACGGTACCTCATGTCCGGAATCTTTAATCTGAACACTTTTTAGTTTGAACCCCGCTAATCTGCACACCGTGCAAACTAAAAATTGCTCAAGCGTCATTCAACACATGCTATGGAGAAAAGAAATGGAATGCGGTATCAAAACAAAACGGCTAAAAGCTAAATAGTTACCTAAAAATTCGACCTAAATCGTTCACAACCAGAGCCGGATCACTGATGAAAACCAAAACTACAACCATGAAAAACGTATCGAAATTTTCGAAGGCGAACACTCCGCAACCTATTCTTGCTACTGATTCTGTCCAATTGTTAGATATCCAAATTATAGTCATCCGAAAATATATTATTGAATATATGGTTTATTTTTTTTTGCATAACTACTATTTACGATAATTACATGAAAGAAATAAAATATAAACTACAAACAAAACGTGACTACTGAAATCTCAAAAAGATATTCTCACAAATGTAGTTCACGCAACCAGGCCTGCCTCCACTCACTCGCCACCCTGCAAATGTTAGACACAAGGAGAGGCCGAAAGGCAAGCGTTTGACACACAAAACCCGCCAAATCCACCTGCAGATAGTCACAATCAACGATTCTACTAATCGCGAGCGCAAACTCTGAGTGAACGCTCAAGAATCATAAAAACGCTGACTGTGACACTCCGAAAGCGAAACTAACAGGTTCTATGCGTCAAACACCTACCATCCAATCTCCTCCCGTATCCAACAAGTACAAATGTTCACTACAACATCCAACGAATCCAAAACCCCGAAAATCACTCCTCTATAGCAAGTGAGTGGATACACTTTTTCTACCTATCTTTCTATTAGGCCTGTGGACATGTGTTAGCTTCGAAACTTCGAACCAAACTCAATCAGATCACAAGAAACAACAACAAAACTTAAGTAACAAAAAAACAAGTAAAATAAATATTGATTATTTTACGCAAAAACGAGCAAGTAATATTAAATCACTTGTACCGTATCCTAATGGTAATTGACTGTAACAAAAACAATATGCTAAAATAAAATAAAATTTTAATAAAATGATATGCAAAATTAACTATAAGGTCATTGCTTTATTGGTGAGAAGTTTCTAATAAGCCCTCCCAGTTCCTCTGTTTACAGAACAAATCTGATACTATAATCAGAATTGCTCAGTCTGCATGAAGTAGCCGATTTCATCAAGGAAGTTCTATTAACAACCAAGAATTAATCGTTTGAGGCATACTGAAGCATTATGAAGGTGATATGTGTCACTATGGAAAATCATCATCGTTGCAAATAT